TCTATCCTCACAAATAATAATTTTTATTTATTTTGTATGCTTGTTTGTTTTTGTTTTGTTTTATTTTTTGCAGTTTTTGGCCAGGGCTGGATTTGAACCTGCCAACTTGGGCATATGGGGCTGGCACCCTACTCCTTTGAGCCACAGGCGCCACCCCAATTTTATTTTATTTTATTTTTTTCTTTGAGATGGAAAGAAAGGATCCTCAAGCTGTCCCCCTGGGTAGAGTGCCGTGGCATTATAGCTCACAGCAACCTCCAACTCCTGGGCTCAAGTGAGTCTCCTGCCTCCGCCTCCCAAGTAGCTGGGACCACAAGTGCCTGCCACAATGCGTGGCCATTTTTTGGTTGCAGCTGTCATTGTTGTTTGACGGGCCGGGCTGGATTCGAACCCACCACCTTAGGTGTATATGGCTGGTGCCTTAGCCAGTTGAGCCACAGGTGCCAAGCCCCAATTTTATTTTTTAATAGTTGTACATACTCAAAAGGTACATAGTGATATTTTAATATATATGATGTACAGTGCTCAGAAGGAGTAATTAGCTTATCTTCTTCCTCTTATAAAACTACCAGTCCCACTCCCATGATAACACATTAATCCACGAATGATCAAATCACCCCTTAAGAGCCCCACTCTCAATACTGCCACATTTGGGACTAAGTTTCAACATGAGTTTGGGAGGAGATACCCCAATTATAGAAGGTGATGAGTACCATTTACTGTTTACAGAAAAATCTGAAGTTGAGTCAAAGACTTTAACACTTTCTGTAAATCAGTGCAGAACATCATTTGTTCTTAGCAGAAGAAAGCCCCAAGACAGCCTCTCTGGAAAGTATTTTGAGAAGCTGAGTAGGCTTTTCTAAATAAAGGTAGAGTCTTTCTGCTTCTGTTTTCAGTTCCCAGTTTCTACTCCAGCCAGGAACCTGCCTTTCTAAGCTAAGTAGACCACTGAATTTGGTTCCTCAGAGTGATCTCCTCCAATTCTCTGCCTTCGAAGAGAAACATAGCTCTCAAACAACACCAGAGGGAACCAGGAGCACAACAGCTTATGTCCTTTCCTATAACTGAGCTCGATGCTGTCTTCCTCATAATTACTCCACTGATAGCCACAGTGACAAAGCAGTTCCCTAACTACCTGAGTACCTAGCACTCCTTTAGAATTACAGTTCTTCAAAAGCAAGCTCAGATTTAATCTTCTTCTCCTCTCCCAGAATGAAGCCTCTAAGACCTGATGTGGGCAGGCTAGCACTTCTACCTCCTCTTATTTACTTACTGTTAAGCATCATACATCTGCCAATGCTTGGGTCCACTCTGCTCCACCAGCTTACCTACGTAGTTTTAGATGTTCTTTCTCCATCTTTGCCCAAGGAAAATGACTGAAAAACTAAGATATAATATCATCACTTTATTCAGGAGATAATCAAATACAATATGGAGCTGACACTGAGAAGCTATGCACAAAATCATATAAATCTGCTTGCTACATTTCCTAGAAGAGGTTCAGTCATTGTAGACAAGAGAAACCAGGAGGGTACCTAAATGACTACCATTTTAAGCAAACATCTCCACACTCCCTTGTGATGAAGGCAGCCCCAGGTGAAAATGGTCCTGTTAGAAGAGAGAGTAGGAGGCAGTGGCTGTGCAGAAGCCATGTTTCCTGGCCCTGCCAGCACTCAATGGTATGCCTTGTTGAACTCCTGGAGGGCCCAGCGCTTGTTCTCAGTTGCCTGCTTGAGTTGGGTGTACTCTTTTACTAGCCTGTCAAACTCCTCCCCAAGAACCTCATAGTTGTTCAGGACCTGTCTTGACTTTTCCATGTCTTGCTCTTGTAGGCGAATGGCTCCCTCCAAACGGTCCCTAAGAGCCCAGGCAGAGAAGGTACAGTATAAGCATTTCGTTCCTCAGAAAGTAGACAAGAATGGGAACATTTTTATTTATTTATTTTTATTTATTTTTGAAACAGAGTCTCACTATGTCGCCCTCGGTAAGAGTGCTGTGGCATCACAGTCACAGCAACCTCAAACTCCTGGGCTCGGCTTGGTGCCTGTGGCTCAAGTGGCTGGGGCGCCAGCCACATACACCTAAGGTGGTGGGTTTGAATCCAGCTTGGGCCCACCAAACAACAATGATGGCTGCAACCAAGGAATGGCCAGGCGTTGTGGTGGGCGCCTGTGGTCCCAGCTATTTGGTAGGCTGAGGCAGGAGACTCCCTTGAGCCCAGGAGTTGAAGGTTGCTATGAGCTGTGATGCCACGGCATTCTACCCAGGGGGATAACTTGAGGCTCTGTCTCAAAAAAAAAAAAAAAACTCTTGGGCTCAAGCAATTCTCTTGTCTCAGCCTCCTGAATAGAGTAGTTGAGACTATAGGTGCCCGTCACAATGCCAGCTATTTTGTTGTTGTTTAGGAGGCCTAGGCCAGGTTCGAACCCACCAGCACTGGTATATGTGGCTGGTGCCCTAACCACTGAGCTACCAGCACTGAGCCAAGAATGGGAACGTTTATTTATTTATTGAGACAGAGCCTCAAGCTGTCACCCTGGGTAGAGTGCCATGGCATCACAGCAACCTCCAACTCCTAGGCTCAAGCGATTCTCCTGCCTCCACCTCCCAAGTAGCTGGGACTAGAGGCACCTGACATAACGCCTGGCTATTTTTTGGTTGCAGCTGTCATTGTTGTTTGGCAGTCCTAGGCTGGATTCAAACCCCCCAGCTCAGATGTATGTGGCTGGCGCCTTAGCCACTTGAGCCACAGGCGCCAAGCCAATCGGAACGTTTTTAAATTAATGTGTCTGTACAGTGTGGGAAGCGTCTGTGAATAGCTATACAAAGCTCTTAGGAATTCTCACCTAATGAGACGATGAACTTCCACTTTCTCGGCAGTGTAAGTGTCAGACAAAATCTTTAGTTCCTCCTTCCTGACAGAGGGAGAAAAGAAATATTAAGTGGAAGATACCTGACAGCAGCAAAGTTAGGAATGGATACGCTGCCTGCCCATGGTCAAGGTGTACAGTAAGCAGTGATGGGATAAACAAGTTCACTTTGAATCCCTGAGCAATTGGTCTCTCACAGTAAACCACCTATTTCAGAGGGCTGTAAAAAAGAAGACTCAAGAATGTTGAGAGCTTTTGGGTAATCCAAAGGCACATACTACTGTTGACATTTACTGGATACACCCAAGGTTCTTGGCATGGTAGAGAGGAAAAAGATGAAGGTGGGGGAGGGAGGGCTGGTGTGTGACAGAACCCCTTAGATCTAAGGGGTCACAACTCACCTCAGCTTAAGGATCATGGCACTGCACTTGATTTCCAGGTACTGGGCATTAATGCCGTCTAGCTCAGACTGGGTCTTTAGCCGGTGTTCCTGAAGAAGCCTCTGTAGCAAGGTGAGGCAGCGGAGAAGCACCTGAGCCCCCAGGGGAAGGAGGAAGAGGGCATCAAAGGAGGAAAGATCAAAAATCCTTGGCTTATCCAAAGCTGTCCCTGGGTTCAGGGTAAAGGAGAAAGGAGTCTATCCCACTGCCCTCATAAACCTGAGAATACGTGGCACTCTTCTTTTCCAGAAGCACCATCTGCTCCTTCTGCTGGCTCTTGGCATCTTGGCACTGCTGCTTCTCACCCGCCAAGACCTCTGCCAGTTTCCACACCTTTGCTGCCTTCAGGGTTTCACTGTCAGAATCTGGGCAAAGGGACAGAGGACTGACAGGAAAACCCTAATTGCCCCTTTAAGGCCATTTTTCAGTGCCCTACAAATTCTGCCTTCTTCCAGGGTTTCTTCTGATGTCCTATTAGAAATGGTACAGTTCTCATAATTCAGTTCTCTTCCTTCATACCTTTAATTCATATTTGGCCCTTAATTCTTTTTTTTTTTTTAAATAATAATCACATTTCTTTTTTTTGAAACATACATCTTTATTTATTTATTTATTTATTTATTTTTGTAGTTTTTGGCCAGGGCCAAGTTTGAACCTGCCACATCCAGTATATGGGGCTGGTGCCCTACTCCTTGAGCCACAGGCACCATCCCTGGCCCTTAATTCTTAAGTCATAGAAATAAAGATAAGGGGAATATCAACAAGTCTGAACTTTCTTCCTTGTGCCATTTAGATCTTTCTGAGAAGACAGAACTCATCCTTCTCTGCAGGAAGAAGACACTCCCACTTGGCATCTTGCTGAATAAAAGATGCCAGTTTTTTGGCCTGGCAAAGTCCTATTTTTTTTTTTTTT